TCTTTCTTCCCTCCCTCCTTCCCTCCCTCCCCCTTCCTTCCTTCCTTCCTTCCTTCCTTCCTTCCTTCCTTCCTTCCTTCCTTCCTTCCTTCCTTCTTTCCTTCCTTCCTTCCTTTCTTTTTTTTCCCTTTGAGCCAGAGTCTTGACAGTTCTGGAACTTGCTATACCGCCCAAGCTGTCCTTGAAATCACAATCTTCCTGCCTTAGCCTCCCAAATGCTAAGATGGCAGGTATACCCATCACTCCACACGAGTTCTGTTTTTGCATTCTTGTAACACCTTCTTTGTCTTAAAAAACATCCTAATAAAACCCATTTTAAAGAGAGCTAATACGACACCCATATTTGAAGAAGGAAAAAACCCAAACAAGTGGGGATTCACTTGAACAGCGACTCTGCCTGTTGAAGGATTTTTGGGGTGAGAGGCAATCATTGCATTTTCCTTTTTAGTGAATGATCAACTGATTTCTGTTTTCCTGCTTCACTGTCTATTCAGACTGCTTTCCATCCCTTCTTCTGCTAGATGCTAAATAAAATTTGATTGCAAGTACATGGTGCCCACCAATGAAAGGATTCCTGCCTGGGTAGACTGAGTCTTAAACCAAGATGACCTAAGGTCTAGATATATTCATGGAAAAACAAACAAACAAACAAACAAACAAACAAACAAACAAACAAACAAAAAACAACTAACCAGGCAACTGTCAAAAAATTATTTGTACTTAAGGGCTGGGCTTTTCCTGTCCAATGTAATTCATATTTTATAGAGGACATTTGCATTTGTTTTACTTGATGTTAACATTCAGCATACCATGTTTGCCTGGCCTCCCCACATTCCACGTGGTGGGCAGCACAGAGCTCATCAGGTAGCCGTGAGAACAGCTGGAGGTTTTGCTTCCGACCTCTGGAAGGATTCCTCCTTTGGTACTCTTGGCTTGTGAAAGGAGGAACGGCGTCACTTGGGTTCAAGGGTGCACTGGCTTTATTCTCTCTCATTATTGTTCATCCTAACCATGAATAATACCACTAACAGCAGGTGGGCCAGTTTGTGGAGATTCCCAAACCAGACAATATGGACGTTTACTGGTTTGTTTTAAAAGGCGTTTGCGAGGCAGCCTTTTCTTCCTGTAAGATCTGCCATCTCCCCTTGGTCTATGCCTGTCCTTTGCCCTCCCTCACACTCCGCCGCCCCAGTCTGTCTGGGTTTTCCATCCATTGTGCTCCCTGAGAGACGAGGGTCTGTCAATAGCCTCTTTTCCTAGCACTCTCATTTTTTCTTTCTTTGCCAAAGAATACAGGTCATGTGATTGTGGATCTTTTATTCTAAAAAGCAACCTCTCTGGAAACTGACTCCACAAAAATCACCCTTTGGCCTTTACATGTGTACCATGGTATGAACACTCTCTCCCCTATCTCTTTCTCTTTGTCTCCTGTTCTCTCTCTCTCTCTCTCTCTCTCTCTCTCTCTCTCTCTCTCTCTCTCTCTAAAATAAAATGAAGCTTTTTTTTTTTTTAAACCTTTCTAAGCCTTTTCTGCCCTTTTGGATCCTAGCTTCCTGGATTTTCTTAGAGGCAGAGCCTACAGCAAGCCACAGAAGCAGCCCACAGGATGCTTCTGGGCCTTTCCTATTCTCCTTCGTTTCTGCTTCTTGACTTTTCTCCAGAGCAGAGCCCACGGAAGACCCAGGATGCTCTTGCTGCCTCCATTTTCTCTTGTCAACATCCTCTTCTCAGCATACCAGCTGATCTCCGTCAAGGCTGCTGTGGACCTTCGGGCTACAAAAGCCATGTTCCTCGAATGCCTACTTAGATTCACTTTCTCCACATTGCCCTGAGGTGGAGGTCTCTTTCAATCTTGAATGGCTCTTCTAAAGCGCCCGCCCCCCATCTCTGCTCTGACTTCCCCGGCTTCATGGTGTCCTGCCATGGCATCTCAGACAGCCTCTTGAATACTGGGAATCTGGCAATCTACTTAGTGTTTCCCTAGAGTCTTCCTAATGGGCCCACCCCACCACACAATCCCTGTGCAGGAGACCTCCAGCGTTCACCTCCTCCCTCCAAGCCTGCGCCACATGCCTTCCCACCATGCCTGCTCACCCTGCTCACTCCAAGCTTGTACCTAATGCCCTCCAAGCTTGCACCGGGGTGTCTGAATGGTGATTTCCAGCATCTCGGGGAAAACAGGACTCCTTATTCCTCCCTCTTCCCAACCTGTTTCTATTTTCTGTGCAGAAATCTAGGCTCAATATCCACATGCAAAGATCAGACCATACAAACAACTCTATTTCCAAAATACATTTCAGCCCAGGACCCTTCCACTGTCCCCCCACCATCAGCAATCCACACCAAATCGCCCTCGCATCCCTGTCTAGATAATTCCAGTCAGCTCCAAAATGACCATCTAATCTCAGCTCCCGCCTCCTACAATCCATTCTTCACAGCTAGCTCACATCCTGCATAACACACAACTCCACTTAGCACCCTTCGAATTCTTGCATGCCAAAATATAAGTAGTATGATGTGTGATGTTTCCAGGCACGATTGAATAAAGTCTATGAAGAGAGTGTATATTAAATAAGAAACAGCATTTTTCAGAAACAATGCTATCTACTAGTGTTAAGTTCTTATTTATATAAGTCTAGATTATTCTTTATAAATAAAACTGTCATTTTACACAAGCACAGACATGTGAAACCACAGAGTGCTAGGAGAGAAAAATGAAAAAAAAAAAAATCAGCCGGGCGGTGGTGATGCATACCTTTAATCCCAGCACTTGGGAAGTAGAGGCAGGCAGATCTCTGTGAGTTTGAGGCCAGCCTGGTCTATAGAGCGAGTCCCAGGACAGGCTTCAAAGCTACACAGAGAAACCCTGTCTCGAAAAAGAAAAAAAAATCCACAGAACAGCTCCTAAAAGAGTTTGCCTCCACACTGCATTTGAGTTGCTATCAAATCCTCTTTCACCTAATGGATAACTAAATATGGCTTATGAAAACAATTTTGTGAAAATACATGCATATGTAGAGAATGACTCCAAGTTTTGTTTTTATTAAAATGGGTAAGATTGAACTCAAAAGTCACATTCACAATGCCTGAGACAGCCCAGGAGAGAGCTGGGTTTCTGAATTTCAGATGGAAAGATCACCTGTGAGTGTTCATGAGAAGAAAGAAAATGATGCAGAATGGATTGATCCATCTTAACTTCTCATAGGCTAACAACGACATTTTAAAGGAAAATTTTGAGGAATAGATAAGGTCTTTTATAATGGCTTTGGGAAAACATGGCAGGACAGTCAACATCTGAGGCTGGATGAGAGAATGCCACTCTTCATTTCGACCAGGACTGTCACTTCACATTACATCTCTAATGCACACAACACCACAGAGAACATAGCAGATGCCCCACAGCTCCAGTTGGAGCTAGGAGGCTTCCTGGTGTGGCAGAAGCATCTGGCTCCTTTTCACCCACCTTACCATCTCCGTATCCCATTTCTAACCATCCATAAGTAAAGACACAGTTCAGAACCAATGTGCCTTGTGCCAGATGCCAAACTTCTTTTCCTTATGGTGTTACTCCAAACTCCTTTTTTAGAAATTGTAAAGATAGTTCTGGCTTTATTGGGATGCTTACACTTATTAGAAGCAAAAAACATACTAGAGGATGAAAATATAAGCTCTTTAAAAGGGCACTGTCAGCTAGGCGTGGTGGTGCACACCTTTAATCCTAGCACTTGGGAGGCAGAGGCAGGCAGAGCTCTGTGAGTTTGAAGCCAGCCTGATCTACATAGTAAGTTCCAGGACAGCCAGGACTATGTAGAAAGACCCTTTCTCAAAAATATTATTATCCATTACCCTGAAACAGCACCCAAGGGATGGCATTTTATGGGGAGTAGGGAGGGAGCAGCAGGTGCATCAGGCCTTTAAGCCAGGGCAGGGCAAGGCCTCTGTTTACACAGTGGATTCTGCACTTGGAGGAGAGGTATGTGCAAACCACCTGCCAGGTAGTGAAAACTCTGGAATACAGTACTGACCAGTATATGCATGTACACATGCACATATACAAAGATGCTCTTTTGCTACAATGGGACAAACATGGCTTTCTCAGAAACAGTATCCAGTTCTATTCAAATCTGCTACATCAAACTACCAAACCCTATTTTAAAGATCCAACAAGAAACAACTCATACTGGTTGGTCTCCTTCTCCAGCACGGGCAATGCTGGTACAGGAATGATGGGTGGCAGCTGTCAGTGAGGCAGCTGTAAACCACACTGTATCTTGCTTGACACGACACACAGAATGCTGGTCCATTACTCACAACATGCACTCTCTTGTCTTGTGCTCAGATGGACACAGAGTCTAAGAGAAAACTGAATTCTGTTTTTCTTTTTCTTCTTCTGTTATTCCCACAAAGGCAGTTACGTGCCACAAGCTTTTCTATCTGCTCATGTAGTTTATGTTTCCGTCATATGTGGCAATGCTTTGAAAACATACCAGGAAAAGCAGCGCCAACATTTCTAAAAGACCAGCTGCCTCCCTGATGATCAGCCACCCAGGCATCCATAGAGGCATTTCGAACAATCCCACTGTCTTTACTATTTTTAACAAGCACAAAAGAAGCATCTGTAGGGCTAGATTTTAGACAATCATGCTGCTTTTCAGTAAGGAATGACCCATTCCTACTGAATGGGTCCACCTCTCATGTAAAATGTTTGAGGAAAAATGTTCTTACCTGGGAATATTCAAAGTCGGTGATAGGGGCTATGCTCTTGATATAATCAGACCGAAACTGGTTTTCAGGGTTGGCCAGTGGAACTGGAGGTATTATAGTACTCATTGCTGAAACGATTGTCTAAAATAGGATGAAGGGGGGAGAAAAACCAACAGAGAGATATAACATGTAAAGGTCCCATGAAAGGTAATCAGAAATACATACTTTGTTTACACAATCTAAGTCTAGCCTACTCAACACTTCAGGTGAATTAACATTAGGGGGGGCTTACCACGATAGCATCTTTGACATTTTTCCTGATGTCCAGAATTTTCTGCTTCTTTTCCCTGCATTGAAAGAGAGTTGTTATTAATTTCATTCACGATAGAACCCAATAAAGATTTTAAATAAAAAAAAAAGATTTTAAATTTCCAGTGTCTGTAGCGTCAGGTAGACTGGGTTCACCAGAGGTCAGTATCGACTTCCAAGGCATCTATTAAGCTTTTATCTCACAAATGAGAACACAGCCAGTCCCCCACCCCTTCCAATCTGTGCCCAAAACAAATTGAATGCACCTGCGTTAAAATCTACACCCTCAAACAAACATCAAGGCCACATAGTCACAATTATGATGGATATAGCAGACAAATACAACTACAGTTATACTCATAACTGTATATACTTATATTCATAGTTATAAACTGAAGTAGATGTAAGCGGGTTGTACTGTAGAGAGACGGTGTACTAAGATATCGTTAGGCTTCATATAGGCGATTCTACATTGGTGAACTCAATCAACTGAGGATCAAAAAACATTTGGCAGAAAAAAACTGTATGCGCACTGAATGTGTTCAGGCATTTTCTTTCCTTGTGATTATTTCCTAAACTATCCAACACGATACAGTCACAGCTTTTATTAACATGTTGCAGTAGGCACTATGAATCATCCAGAGAAGAGGAGATATGAAGTAAATTGAAAGATGTTCATAGGTATTTTGCAACTACTACACCATTTTATGCAACAGATTCTAATATGTTAGGCTCCTGAGAGACCTCCCCTTCAGATACTAACGGGTAAAGGATCAATGTATTGGCTGAAAGTTCAGCGCCATACCTATATTAGAGACCAGTTCTCCCAAGAATTCCTAACAAATTGTATTTCGGCAAGCTGTTTACTTTTTAAACTAGACATCGCCAAGGAAGGGTTTGCCTACATGGAGGAAATTCTATGCTAGATTTCCACCTCCCGGCCACCCCAATCTACTCCGTTATCAAAAGAACTGTGTGGAGAAAGTACTTCTGAGAAAAGATGCGACTGACACAGAATTTAGAAACCGAATCCAAATTGGGTATCCTTACTCAGGGTTGAAGCCGTTGACGTGCAGAATCCTCATCTGTTTGACGATGGTGCTTTTCCCTGACTCACCAGCCCCTGGAACAAACAGAAAGAAGGTGGTCATCTGTGTCCTCCTATCGGGCCATACCTGTCACTACCCAATGTGTTCTTTCCTTACGTGGGGTCTTTCGAGTACACCCCAGATATGGCTCGCAGTAAGTAGTTCGCCCTGGCTAAGTTCCAGCGCCCGGTGGTGCGCACCCCGGTTTGGCTGGGCCGGTGGCTGTGAGCCCCAGAACGTGCGCTCCTGGACACAGGGAGCTGTCGGGGGTCAGAGCGACCACGCACCCTGGCCTTACCCAGAAGCAGCAGGCGGTGAGTCGCTTTGTAAGCCAGGCGCTCCTTCTGCAGCTGCTTCTCGATCTTTTTGTTGGCCTCGCGGCGTTCTTTTTCATCCACGCCCTGATCCTCCGCGGTCTTGCTGCTGTTGCCCAAACACCCCATGCCTGCTGGCTCGCACTCCCGTCAGGCAAGTAGGAAGACGCACGAGAGCCAGCGAGAACCCGAGGTGTGCACTCCCCGCGACCGCTTCTCCACTCCCCGATGCTGAAAGAGACAGCCTGGTCTCCCGGGGATGTGCGATGATCGCACCGGCTTCTCCCCCCCCTGCGCCCACCGCACGCTCCCGGCTAACGGCGCCGGGAGGCAGGCGCGCCCAGGGAAACGCTCCTTAAAGGCAGGTCGTCTTAGGAACCTGCTGGGGAAACAGCGCACAGCGCGCGGAGCCCCGGGCGCAGGGCTCTGCTGGAGGCAGCCGGGTGGCGCTGTGCCCGGGCCCCGCCTCCGCCCGCCTCAGCACCGCCCCTCCGAGATGCCGAGGGGGTGGCGCGTAACCGAAAAGCGGGGTCCTGCCTGCGCAGTGGCTAAGCGCAGCGTAGAGGGCCAGAGCTCGCACCAAAGGGTCCCCACAGAGCGGCTGTGGCCACCCACGTGGCTGACTTGTTTCAAAGTCTGACGTGTGCGCCCCCTGCGGGTCCTGCTCCCCTGGAAGGAGGGGCGGGGGAGAAGGAGAAGGGGGGAGGTAGGGGAGAGACAACAGTAGGAGTTGGCTTGGGGGTCTCAGAGCAGCGTTTCTCTAACCCAGTGAGTCAGAGAAGGGACAAGGGGTGCTTACACGCTGGCCGGTGTGGCTTCCTTGCACCCAGTGTCCCCCAGTGCATCTGGGCACGTGCTCCTCGCTCTCCCCCGACGCCTCCTTGCTCCTAAGCGAGCGGGGACTTGGGATCATGCATATTCTATCAGGGAGGAGGATCGCTGGGAGGCTCAGCAGTCACATCGCTTTTGCTCTCTTCAGCTTCTAGACTATTCCAGCTCGCCCCCGCTACCACCTTTCCAGCCCATCTTCACCTCCAGCCCCCGTTTTTTTTTTTCTCAGCAGTTTTGTCGAACAGTTCCACTGCTTTTCTAGAACACACCGTGGTTTTGAATCTGACCTTAGAGCAGAGGGACGGATGAGGACAGGAGACTAGCACCTGCTGGTCCTTTATTGTGACTAAAAACGAGAGCCCTTACTTAGCTCTGCTAACCTCTGCACTTTGTGTTCACAGTGTAAGAGTAGGGGATGAGGAGGGCAAAAGAGGTGACCGAGCCCGGGTATTGGATTCCAGCACCAAGACGCGGAGGTGAAAAGGAGTCCTAGGGACCATGGGAAGTTGATGGTTCCCAACTTGGCAACAACTAGGTTGTGAGCAGGAAGTCATAAACCTTTGCTTGGAGCGTGTGTGTGTGTGTGTGTGTGTGTGTGTGTGTGTGTGTGTGTGTGTGTGTGTCTCCAGACGCCACATTTCCCCTGCTATCAGCATGACCTGGCCTGTGCCCCAGAGAGTAGACACAGACTGTGTTACTTTATCCCACAGTCAGACCATGCCCTCCTGGCCCCTTCCCTTAGGCCTGTCTCATCTCTTCTGGTTTCCTCAGCTCTATCCACTTGCTCCAATCTCCTCTCTCTCCCTCCCTCTCTCCTGGTGGGCCCGTTTTCCTAAAGCATGCAAACATGCACCCACACTGCCCATTGCAAACGAAGACCTTCGGTTCCCTCTCCTTGGTTCAACCAATCTTCCTTCCTCCAGGGCTCGCTCCAGCCCTGCTTGTCTCTCCTTCCTCCTGAAACTTCAACCCCAGGTAGCCTGACAGTGAGTGGCCTGAGCTCCTACACTGAGGATATCAGGATCACCAGTAGATTTGGGCATTTCTGGTCTCTGTGCTCTTCGCAAAGCCAGTCCGGCGCTCTCCTTGAATCTTGGCCTTTAGCACGCCACCCTCTGAGTGTTGGATCTCAGCTTACCCTTTCTCCCCAGACACAACTGCCCATTGTGCCTATCCACACCTCCAACCTACTCCTTCAAACCCTGTACTTTCCACGGATTTGCCAAGCCACGAGGCATGGGAGTGACCCCGGTTGGTTTTTCTCTTGCAAAACACGAAAAGTTGCTGTGTCCTGCTGGATGTTTCTTAAATACATGTCCCATCCTCTACCGCTCCTCCGCCACCACGATGGGCTCTGGTCACCCATTCCAAGCACAGTTTCAGCAGTACAGGCCAGTTTCCATTGTCTCTCGTCTATTCAAAGAATTATTTATTCAACACTGCCTGAGTAGTGTTACCTTCACATTGCTATTCTTAGTCACCCCCACTCCACACACACACAAACTCCTTCCCTGGTTCTTCTAGACCCTCCGACTTCACCATGTTCCCTTACCCCGCCCCTCCTTCCTAACCAGGTGCATTGTCGCTTTGCTCTGGGGAGCAGCTGTGGTTCCTTCTTGGGGCCAGGCCTGCCTCGCTGTCTCTCTTGTAGCCGCACTGGATTAGTAAGGGTTCTCTGGAAGAACAGACCTGACACGGTGAATATATTTTACGGCAGGTTTATTAGAATGGCTCACACGACATGGTCCGGGTGGTGTGACAATGGGTAGCCTGGTGGTGAGAGGCCGAGAATCTATTAGCTGCTCAGTCCATGAGACTGGAGGTCTCCGCAGTCCCACTCATGTGCTGGAGACCTGGAGGATTCCTGGAGCGCTGCCGGTCTTCGGTTTATTTTAGGAGGTTGACAGAGCTTGTTCTAATAGCAGCGAAGGAAAGCTTCAGGAACAGGATTAATAGACTTGTCAGTGAGAGTGAAGACAAGCAGGCTGGGAGCGAAGCTCTCCTCTTCCAGTCCTTTCATCTGAGCTGCCTCCTGCAGGAGCCGCCCACATTAGGGTGGGTCTTCCCGCTTCAAACAATGTGATCAAGAAAGCCCCCCCACAGGAGTGCCCAATGGCTTGCTGTCTTAGGTGATTCCAGATCCAGTCAAGCTGACAACCAAAATTAGCCATCACACATACCTAGAAACCCCCTTTCACATCTCACAGAGCCCAGGCTTCTCCTTCGTCTCATCTATCACACTGCATGCAGTGGCTTTTTTCCGGCTGCACTGTAGCTCCATTAGATAGTAGACGCCTTGAGGGCCAAGCTGGGTACCTCCTCCACCAGGACTGGGAATACTGCTGAATGGGAGAAGAATTGACAAAACCAGAGACAATTCCTAGTCAAAGCATGGGCTGCTGTGACAGGGGTTTCACGGCCAACTTTTAAATTCATAACACATTTCTCTAGTGTAGCATCTTATTGAAAAGAAGAATACTTTTTTTCTAAAGAGCCAAAGCCACAACTTCCCTGCATAGGTAGACATAAACATATTCCATTTTGAACTCCATTAAAAGTCCCGAGTCTACAGAAGACTGTCTAGCGCGGTCACCACATTTGTGAGTGTGCTAACACATGTATCAACCCAGGAGATACTACATCTATTAGGGCAGGCAGAAAGCGAGGGTAGAATCCGAAAGCACAGAATAGTGTGAGTAGATGTGTAAGGATCTGTCAATCCTAAAATGCCAAGATATCCATACATTACTAAGAGAGATGGGAACAAAACAGACGTCATAAAAAGTTATAAAGGGGGAATTAGATTAGAAAGCCCCGAAATACTCAGTTACTCTGAAAATATAGTAAAAGTGGGGTTCTGATCAGATATATAAATTAGAATTATAAAATTTAAGGATTAAATACACCGATGTAATGAAAAACCACACTGTACCCAGAAAGTTAGTAGATGATCAATATAATGATCACACATCCATTGGAAAGGTAGCTCCTGGCTTTTGAGTGATGGCTGGTACTGGCCTAAGTCCTGTCGCTAGGAAAAAGTTTTAGTGCAAAATAGGAATTATTAGCACCACCATTTTTCGTGCTCAGAGTGGCGACTTAGAAGGGTGAGTGACTGGCTCACAATCTGCCCAATACAACCTATGGTGTGTGGCAGCACACTGTGCTAATTTACAGACTCCATAGTCTAAACCGGGAAAGTGTCTGTTTTGTTTGGTGATTTCAGTGAAAATGTGAAAAATGCAAAGCCCATCTCAGCCTGTTAGTAGGCAGGAACTCAAAGGTTCCTCTCCCTTCCTTCCTTCCTTCCTTCCTTCCTTCCTTCCTTCCTTCCTTCCTTCCTCCCTCCCTCCCTCCCTCCCTCTTTTCTTTCCTCCTTTCCTTTCTCTTCCTTCCTTCTTTCCTTCCTTCCTCCCTCCCTCCCTCCCCCCCTCTCCCTTCTTTGTCTTTGGAATCAAGCCCAGAGACTTGTACATGCAAGAGTTCTACTACTGAGTTACATCCCTGGCTCCCAAACTTCAAAAAATTTAAAATCAATAATCTGCGGTTTGCTATTATAGCCTGGAAAAACCGATCCTCATCCATGTTTCCAAATTTTGAATTAGAACCCAGAATACTCATTGGCTTATCCGGAGTTACAGGGAAGAACTGTAGGGTAACTCAGAAAACTGATATGTAGCCCCGGCAAGGAAAGCATCTGTTGCTAGGCAACCTGAACAAGGCAGCGCTAGGAGGCTGCCCAGGCAGAGCACTTAAACCAGCAGGGTCTGAGGGCTGATCCACGAGCCTCACCGGCAGAGGGCAACAGCAGATGTGATCAGGGAAAAGAGCAAGAGAGCAAGGCTCTGGAACATGGAGCGCATGGCGTTTGAGGTCTGAAGACAAGGTGT